CCCACTTCGTACCACGGCGGGGCTTGTCCCTTATCATGTCTTCTTTAAGCGGTCCAAAGTTGCACGTATCGTCGGGAGATCCCAAATTTCATGCGTAAGTATCGATTGATTTACCGGCGTCTTGATTACGATTATTGAAGCGATATCTTTCATAAATGATGTTCGTTTTCCCGAGGCAATAGGATTCCCCTAATTCTATGATTTACGCTAAATTCTTCTTCTCGTCTTCGCTCTGGAAAGGAAGGCAATTGTTAACAGTGAGCACTATTGGACCGATACATGCGATAAATGCGGCCACTCGATACTCGTCGGTCTGCTCATTGAGACGCGTGACTAATTCATAAGCACTCTAAACCTGCTTCCATTGCTTCCAGTTATAAGCAAGATCTCCACATAATTCAATTTTTGGAGGAACTGTGACGTTACTGATAAATATCGGTGCTTAAACAGCTTGTATGGGCTGTCCTCCTTCAATCGGTGGTTCTGCGGGCATGTTTCAATCGCTTGCTAAACTTGCTGTTGACCAGGGTTGACGTTCAAATATGACTTTGTTAAGCAAACAAAAGCGCGAATTCGAAACGCTTTCTGACACCACAGAACGTCCTGGCTTTGTAAAGCAACAAAACAGTCCTCGTAAACAAACGATATTTTAATCTATAAGATTCACTTCGCTGAAAATTCCTGTACAAGATCGCGAGCACATGTAAAACCTGGCATCCCAATGGATAACAACTATTACATGCCGTTGCATTCTAAACTGGTTTAAAGACTACTTGCATAATCGTACTCAGTTTGTTAAGATTGACAATACTAAATCCAGCTATGAAACGACCGTTTGTGGTATACCATAAGGATCAACGCTGTGTCCACTATTATTTTACTTTACATCAATGAATTGCCTAACTGCTCGAAGAAACTATCATTTCGAATTTTTTCTGATGACACAGATATGTTTTACACAAGTGATAAGTTGCAACATCTTGAAACAGTCATGAATGAGGAATTGAAATTAGTTTTTAGGTATTGCATCACAAACAAGCTATCTATAAATCTTGCTAAGACAACTGGCTATATGGTAATCTCATCTTCAAGATTAAATGGAAGTATACATAATTATACATAATATTGAAAGTAAAAGTCAAATAAAATATCTAGGTGTATATATTGATCAAAATTTACACTGAGGATCACAGATTCAAAACATAAAAAAGCTAGTGAAAAATATAGGCATCATTAATAAATTAAGATATTATGTAGATCTTCTTACTTTAAAACAGTTTCATTTCTCCCTCCTTTATCCATATTTAACTTATGGTATTGCAAGCTGGGGCAGTGTTTGTAATATCAGGTTACGTAACATTAAAACGAAACAGAATAAATGTGTTCGTAGCTTGTTCTTTGCTTCTGACAGGGACAATGCTATGCCATACTTCAATTTTTTTAGAAATTCTTACAATTGAAAACATTTACAAATTCAAAGCAGCCCTTTTCACACATAAAATTACTAACAATGCAGCAAACGTCTCTACGATATTCAAAGGAACCCTTACACTAGCCCCTGAGATTCATTATTACAACACCAGATTTGCATCCAGCCTTAATTCTCATCGGGAGTGGATAATTTGAGTAATTTGATTTCACTGCCCCCACTATCAATTATCTTCTCCATTGTTTTTTTCTTTTTATAGCGGAGCTCCACGCGCGCGCGAAGCGCGCGTGTGGGCGGAGCCCCATGGCTAAGGTAATCTACCCATCCAAGAAAATTTGGTAATCACGTGACCGTACACCGAACGAACGAACGAACGACCGTCCGTCCGCACCACTGGGCAACCAATGTTTACTCTCACACTTTCTAGCGAGTTTGGGAGCCCAGGAGAAAACTAATTGCACATCAATGTTGTGATCAATTGACAGCTGTCAAAACAGGGTATCCGCTGACCAGTATCACCTGACCGTACCGCGGGCTCAACTGTCGACCCATCGAGGTCGAGTACTTTTTTGCAGTTATCCGTTGACAAATTCAGTACCAGTTTCAAATGGTCGCAGGCTCAAGTTTACTTTTTTCCAATGATTCATATTAAATTTGTTGTGTTTATGTCATTATGGCCCCGCACTATTAAGATTTTGATTTCAAACTGACCTCGGACGCGAAAATTCAGCCAGTTTTTTAAAAATACATGCGGAGAAGACATTTTCTTACCATGGTCACGCGTTGGTCACGCTCTACAACCAATTTTTATGCTCTGATTGGTTAAAATTTGACAGGTGAGTTCATGCGGAAAATTTATGCAGCATCTTGAAAGTTGTTTACTTTGAGAGCTGAAGCCGACAGAGTTTTGTGTCAACTGGTGATGTTTTTAACTGCCTTTTTCGACCGGATGTACAAAATGAAATACAGCTTCTATCAAGAGTCTTCTGTTATTCATGGCTGGTTTGTTTATTGGGTTATTGGTTGAGAAATGCGTCGCTTGTCAAAATTCGGTAATCCGATTTCGGATGGCGTCGTTTTTGTTTTTCACCTTGCTTAACGCGTAAGAGGGTTTAAAAGTCTCAAGCAACTGTGGCCTTCTTTGATAGCTTTCAGGAACTGAATCTCGAATGGTAAGCCTGAGTAATTATTGTATTTGATGTTTGTTTTTGTTATATCTAATTTCATGAAGTCGAGCACAGTTTATGCGGCAAGTTTATGCACGTTTGTAAGATGTGAGTCAAGGATCTGACCTAGTGTAAGGTTTGATATAAGCTTACAGAACTTTAAAAGGCCTTCAGATATATTTTTTCACCGCAAATGAAAAGAAAACGTTCCGAAGAATATTTAGTTATAAATTTGGCTGTAGAAAGAAACCTTTGAGCGATTTTCTTGCTTCGAGGAGTTCATCTTTGAAAAAAGCAAACACCGGGAGGCCGGATGAAAGTAAAACCTAATTAAGTTAAGCTTAAAGACTCAGGATTTTTAGAGACACTTTAATACCTGTCTTCGTGAATGAAAATTGTTGCCTCTGTAAATGTTTCACCGAATTATATTTCTTTTGTTGATTGTTAGTAGTCTCTCTTGCAATTTTCATCGCTTGTACGTGCCGTTTGTTTTCATCGTTCATGAACATCGCTTGCAGGAGTACTAAAAAATGTCGCGCGTATCAAACGCTTCACAAGATTACATATCGTTATAACTGAAACCATTAAATAACAAAAAATAATAATAATAGATTCGTTATTATGTTGAAGCGTAACTCTATTACAGTTCATTCAAACACTCGACCACACTGACAGCTCGCACTAGAAATGAGAACCGGCTGGCCGTATGGGTGATTTTGGAATTTTTTTGAAAGGTTTCGCTAAAAGCCCACGATTGATCGTCCTGAATATTGACTAAGTGCAATTTGTCTTGAAAAATTGTGAAATGCCGCATTCTGTCCGTGGATTGTATGATAAATAGTACTTTTTCACCTCAGATGTGATATACTGAAAGAGTATGAAAGGTTGGTTTACACACCCTCAGATTTGTTGGCAAGAATTTGTAAAGTAAACTTGTCAAACGCAAAAAGATTCGGCCTGATTTTTTTTCCAAGAATTTGTTTTCGAGGCCTAATCTACTGTGATCAAGAGCCATTATGGCTCTTGAATGTGATCGAACATGTTTGCTATTTTTTGGGTGTACATATAAGGCTATCAACCCGATGTAAGATGTTTCACTCTAAAATAACTTAGCCTTTCCCTCTAAAGTCACATGAATGTGCCCTTAAGTTAACCGATTTGTGGATTACAAGTTTATTGTTTGATTTAAATATAAAGTTATTAATGGGAGCTTCGCTTTTAGCCGTGGCTAAATATATATATTATAAAATTGTAAGTATAACTTTATGCACTCTTAATTTTCCTGTCTCTGTTGTACGCTATTTAAATATCTACGCCAGTTAGTTATACTTGGTAGTGACCAACTCGAAAGCCTGAGCTCCTTTAGTCACTGCGCACATTCAATCTTTGATGTTTTTTGTAATTTAATGTTGTTTTATTTTACTTTTGTGATGTATTGTATTTTTTTTTTTGTGGTAAACTATTGAAATAGTGCAGTAAATAAAAATCTGAAAATCTGAATCTGTAAAATTTGTTTCTCTTTTGGACTGTTTAAAGATTAGTTTTCTCTAAAATCACTGAGCCTTTCCTTCAAAAGTCTCATGAATGTGCGCTAAATTTAACTGATTTGTGGATTATACGTTTATTGTTTGATTCAAATTATAAATTTATTAACGGGAGATTCGCTTTTAGCCCTAGCCAAATCTATATATTTGTGGGCGACAAGAGGAGCCCCCAATCCTAATCGCATGGTGTAGCCAGCATTCGTTTGGACTTTGGACTGAGAATGAATAAAATGCACAAAATGCAATTTGATTGCACAAATTGCAATTTGATCACTCGAGTTTCGACCTTCTACCCCTCGCAATCTGTTCACTCGTGTTTTGATCATCTGTCACGTTAAACTGACGCAAGGCACAGCGTTGGAACAAAAGCATTTTGACCTCCGATCGCTGTCGCCCGCACTCCTTAATCTTTGGTTATTACTAGTTAAATCATTCTTATGTAAAATTCCTCAATCATTTTCTTGTAAGTTACTTTCCTCCAAACATTTAGTGTGGTTACAGAAGAGCACGGTTTTCCCCACTGCAGTTCTGGCACCTTTCATGTTGACGTTTAATAATCACTCAGCAACTCAAATACGTCCTGTTTGCTGTAGAACACGACACAAATTTTTCCCCTGCTTAAAATGGCTTGTAGACTGCTTGAGGCACCCAAGTCATTCTCGTCTGTCCGGGCTTAAAACAGCTGTAAGCAATTTGCACTGGAATCAACATTTCTCCGTTGAACATCTGCAACCACTGAGAATCTTAGGTAGTAGTGCTTCAAGGAAAAAATAAAAAAAAAGAAAAGAAATGGCATCAAAGAAAACAAAATATAGGGATGAAAACCAACGGACGGAAAGGAAAGGAAAGCGAAAACTATCGTCAACCAGTGCAGACTTCATCTGTCTCTTGGATTCGGCCGTTAGTAACTTCTATTTCGTAAGTTCCTCTTGACGGATGCACCGTGGACGACGCTTTATAGCAATTGCCGCACAACATTCCCCTCACTTTTTGCCTGAATCTCAGGTTGACTAAGGCGTACACCACTGGATTGATAGCAGAATTGAACAAGATCATCGTGTTAGATGCTGCATATGGTAAGAATGCAGGATAGGAGAAAAAGTAGTAGGCGACGTAATTAGCTGAGTCGGTTAACCAGCACACCCCAAAAATGAAACTGATAATCAGCACCATCAAAGTAACTCTTTTTCGCACCTTTATCACACCCTAAAAAAGTAAAAACAAATTGTATACCGTAAACCCGGGGCTACTCCGGGATTTCTTGGTGGAGGTGTGCTGCTTAGTTCTTAAAATCCTAACCTTAATTAAGCCAAAAAGTGTCATTTTCGCACTGTTCTCTCACCTAGCTTCTAAAATCCATACCCGTTTTCAAACCTGGCCTGTAGACTTTGTTTGGCAGGGGCCGGTCACAAACGCGCCATTTATGTTTACTTAGACAGAAATTGTGTCATTATTACTTAGATTAGAACGCCAACAAAAAGATTCCTTAAATTACCTTTCGAATTCGTATATCGCTCTCACCCGGCTCACTCATTTGCAAACGACAAAGACGTTCTTGCACTCCCGTAATTCCCTCGAAAGACCAGAAAGGGCAAAGTCTGTACCCGTTTTCAGATCGTAACGGCGCAGAAACCATACCCCTTGAGGTTATCCCTTTTTGACAATAAATCCGGTCTCTACTAAGCCTTCCCGGGGCTAATGTATTTCAAGAACGTTTGAGGGTGCGGGGCTTAATAGAGACCGGGGGGGGGGATAGAGGATTTATGATAATGTAATTGCGCACAATGTGATATTGTCTGCTGCTCTTATAACGAGTAATATATTTATCACAACTTCGAGCATTATGGTATCAGTACCACTACACAGTCACGTCCCCTGTAGGCACCACCGCCGCAACTATTACTACCAAATTGTTCATGCTGGCTCTGTTTCAGATCCTTCTATCTCTCAATGCTACAGCCTAGTTTAGTAATATGTAAAGGGTGAAAATAACGCGAAACAGGATAAATCATTGCCCTAATTTCGATTTGTCAAGTGCAATCCTGTTTAAACAAACAGTCTCTAGCTTGGTAATCGTTTCAGATCTGTGCAACGATACTACTGCATTAAACTGTAACCAACAGTTTTTGTTTCAAAGGTTATTAAGTAAAATCATTTTACTTATACTTTATGTAAAACAACACCACCACCATCAACAACAAATACTGCTACTACCACCACCTCCTCCACCAAAACTACCACAGCCACCATCACCACCACCACCACCACTACCACCCACCGCTATTACCATGACCACCACTACTACAGTACCACTATCACTACCACCACCACCACCGCCACCACAACTCACCACCACCACCATCAACACCACCACTAGTCACTAACATTACCACCACTACTACCACCACCATCTCCACCCCAACTACTACTTTCACCATCCCCACCACCACCACCACTCACCATAACCATAATCATCACAACCGTCACCACCACTACTACTACCCCCACTACTTTACTACTGAACTGAACTAATGTCAGTATTGTTTCACACCTGTAGTTGCTGACTGCTGTTTTCATCGGACTTTGCACTTTTGAACCACAAAGTGACCACGACACGGGAGTACAAAGAAGTCATCAAACACACCGGCAGAAATGCTACCAACAAACACCAAGTGGAACTATAGAGCTGGCCGATCCATTCTTCAGGGCACACATAAGCACAAGCTTGCTCAGCCTTAACATAATTCGCACAGATAAACCCCGGGATATTGATTACCACTCCAAATATCCAAGAACAAGGTATAATCACCTGAAATGATATCAAAGAAAACGTATATATGGTCTGCTGAGACTTTTGATTCAGACAAGAAGGCTATCATTGTGTACCACTAATAATTAATTTAAAAACGCTCGAAGCGCTGCTACTTTGTATTTTACGGCCCGTTGTTTTTTAATGGTTCGTAGGTCAACTCTCGCGATGAAATGTCACACCCAAACTCGTCGAGGCAGACTGGGAAGGAGAATGCTACTTGACAGGTGTTACACGCAAAAACAAAATTAATAATGCCATTTATAAGTTAAACCCTCTGAAGAGTGTGTACGGAACAGTCTCTATTATCACGACAGGCGCTAATTAAGAGTTAATCAAAAATACCTTGAGCTTGCGGTTAGAAATTCTTCCATTGTTTTCATGAGGATATAGCACTGCGTAATATCGTTCAATTGATGTCACAACCAAGGTGAACACTGAAGCAGCAGCTCCTATCCAACCTAAATTTCCACCAGTCAGTAGTCTGCACAGTATTGTGCCAGTTAATCCATCTGGATGGGTGAAGGCGTGTGTCAAAACGTATTGCGGTGCAAAAAACGTGGCTACGGTCATATCTGCTACAGCCAAGTTCATGAGTAGAAAGTTTATTGATGTCCTTTGAAAGTTAAAACAAGGAAAATAATATATGAGTTTTTAGTGGAGAGGTTGCATGCAATGGTGGATTAATTTCCTTTGTGGTTGTTGTTGTTGTTGTTTTTAACATTCGTGTTTCTATAATATGCAGTGATTTTTTGATTAACACGTTGAATATCAACCACACGCATGGACACGAGATTTCAGTCTAATGGTTCTGCCGCTGTGGCGTTTCCTGATCACACAAGAAACTCTACTCCATATTGGAGAATATAAGTTAGCAATTAATAGCGGAGCTCCACGAACGCGAGCGCAACCCCATACCTAAAAAAGCACTATTGTTCTTCATCAAACAGCACCTGAGGAATCAATCATAAGCTAGTGAAACGTGACTTAAGCGTTTTGCTCTATAAAATCCCTCAGAGATTTTTTATCTTTTCGTTCTAGCGTGTCGACTACACTGTGGAGAATTTTAAACTCTGACTGTGTAAATGAAGCTGGTCTGTTCCATGCATATTGATTAACTGTTTCCTGCAAATTATTGTCTGTAGTTCTGACAGGATTCGATTCTAGCACCGGTTTTCTTTAGTCAATTTTTTTAAGCGTTGTTTTTTGTTTCGGCTAAATGACCCTTTATATTAATCAAGGTTTTAGTTTTTAATTCTTTTTTTCCGAAATTCGTTTATCTGAATAAATACTTGTAGTTGTTTTGTCCGTCAGTGATGATTCCCTTCTATGTTTTGTTACGCCGGGCCTAGCTCGTTTGTAACGAAAAGTGATCTACAGACGCGAATTTAAAGGAAAGAATTGTATCTTAAACTGAAGCTATACTGACTTCTAAGAATTGCCCTGTTAGGCGCAGATACAATCCACTTCGTTTTTCTTGAAGATAACTGTGTCTTAGTTTGGACCGGAGCTCGATGTCATCAATTCCTCGCTTGGTAATTACTTTTGAGTTAGCTTCACAGCCGAGCGAATGTTCTGTTCTGTTCAACTTTTCAAGTGCCAGTTTTTATCAGGCAACACTCCTGGTAATACAAGTTATAAAGGAAGACTGAAATTTTGGAACTAAAGCATTCCTCGTTATTTAGTTGCTACGTAGGTCATCGCCTTGGAACACCGCGCTGCTTGAGCTGGCGAAATCCACTCCAACGTGATGACAAAAATCCAATGATCCTGGCGCTTTGTCCGCGCTGACTATACAAAAGTTCCAAATCGTCCACAGAACGTTTAATCGTCTGGTAATTCATTAACTTTAATTTTATGATACACAGATCCCTGCGGCTTTATACTGTTACACGTTTGTACAACGAAGCCATGAACGTTATCTTGAAACGATTTGATTGGTTAATAAGAGAATTATTTCACTTGACATTGGTTAAACAGAAGAGTATTCAATGAGAATGGGTTCAGCTTACGTTTTTACTGGTGTCACGTTACCTTGACTCTCTATAAGCCGGACACCTCTCTAAGACGGACAGACATGCAGGCCCGGCCCCGAAGGTGTCCTTCGTCAAGAGAGTTGATTGTTAGTAGCCCTATATCTAGGAGAGGGAATTAGAGGATATCACGCCGATTTAAAGAAAAAGGTCTATTGACGTTGGTGAGAATTCGATGTCTTTATTAGATCTGGTGGTGATGCTGTTTCGACTTGTTCAAGCCGCTAGGCCTCGTAGCGTACTTGGTAGAGAGACAACAGTAGATCTAGTCTGGAGGTTGTGGGTTCGAGTCCTACGGAGGTGAAACGATTTATTTTGCCTGAACCACGGAACACATAAACAGCGCTAGGGGGCACGTGCGCATCGGTTATAGTTACAGGCGCATGCTAGGCAAAAAAGAAAACCCATCCAACTGAAAAATAAAGCACGAATATTTCATTTAGTAAATTCCAACTAGTAGTCTGTTATTACTGCGTTCTGATTGGTTGAGCTACTACTAGGCTATATGTTATAGCCCACTAGTAGCGAAAAGCGCCGGCTTTTTGGCGGCAAAAAAAGAATTAAAGTCTAGCCTTAACCAGCTAAAGTTGTTTTGTCTCGATATTTTTGGCCAGCTAGTGGGATTTTACTAAAACAATTATTCCTCTCGCCCTCATGGCCCCTAAGTCAATAGCCCATTCGGCCTTCGGTCTTATGGGCTATTGACTCAGAGCCCATTCGGGCTTGAGGAGTAATTGTTAATTAACTGGCATGGAAGTGCTGGGAACAGTTGAACGTTGCTGTGAACGCCAATTCTCCATTTTAGAAACGAAAAGGAAACAGGCTGGAATTAACTTTTGCAAAGTCCTATGAGACCGTTACTAAGGACAGGGGAAAAAAATTGTCCAATAGCTGACCGGCGCATCCCCAGTAACGATCCCAGAAGCGATTGCGGGACGCATTTCGGCTCCAGTTGCCTTCTTGTTTCTAAAGTGGCGAATGGAACCACTACATTATTTTTTCCTCAAGCTTACCTCATGTCCTGATTCCGCACGATGATTGCGCAAACCAAAGAGTTCCCGACAATGTTAAAGATGATAAGAAAGGACTGCACTGTTAATAAGAGGATCGCAGTTAATCCAACTTCGGTCATGTCAATCCAATTTATATCAGACCAATTTCTTCTTTTTTTCTACTGAAACGCCTGAAAAGGGCTTTTACCAAAAAGAAATCCGGGTTAGAATTTGGTATGAGGGCAGGAAAAGTCTACCCTGCGAATTAGCCGTCTTCCCTGCTCCTCGCCGCAGAAAAGAGATGTTAAACGTCCGTTGCGGCGAGGAGCGAGGAGAGACGGCTGTATTCGTAGGATAGGAGAAGTCATGCTTCGAAATGTTTGAGCCTACGTACCCAAGCGCATGAGAAGACACAAATGGCTTGAACTGTAAGTATCCCGGAGAGCTCCATACAATTCCTTATAATTTTGTTATAAGGAATTGTATGGAGCTTTCGAGGAGACTTTTCTTAATTAGCTTAGGCGCGGCGGATTTTGTCACGTATGATCAGCGCGAGGTGTTTTTCCCGACACCCTTCTGTCAGGAAAATGTCATCATAATTATGAAAGCAAAACAGACACGATCGCGTCGGCAGGCCGAAGCCGGCAAAAATATAAGGCTTTTCTTGTTCCATTTCAGAGGTCAGTTTTGTTTCGATCTGGTCAAAATCAGGTTTTTAGGTTGTAGGTAATAAAATATTGTCTTATTCTGTTCTCAGGAACCTTTAGAAAAAGAGATAATTGATTAGAGAAAGAAGCGTGAAAACGCATTTTTGGAAGAAAATATTTTTTAATTCCCGCAGCGATTTTGCGAAATCGCGTAGCGCAATATATTCAGTTTCTTCCAAAGCCGTCATGATTAAGCAGTGTAATGCCATCACAACTAAAAATGAATTTAGTTTGTATCGCAAAAGCTGCGAAAATAGAGATGAAAAAAAAACAGATCGGGAAAATTAATAAAATCACCAAGAAACCGTCTCGCGCTAGCTTTGTTAAACAAATCGTTGGTACGGTTTATTTAACCTAACCTGGAAAAGGAGACGTCTGCACGTAGAATATATTTCATCCTACATGTAGTTGTGATTTCCAGAACGGACCTCGGGAGCCTCATTGCCGTAATATCTTCCACACTACAGAAACCAAAGCAGAATCGCCCTGCTCGCGTGCTAACTTTCCGCTCCAATTATGACTATACGGTACCAGTGAAATGTTTCACAATTTAAAGCGGCCGAAACTTATTTCCATCAGCGCGTAGTTAGTCAGTTAAGCAATAATAATGCACAGCACTGTAAATAACACGGTTCTAGAATATCTGACGGCTTCGCGTTTTGTTCGTCGCTGCATGCGATTTAATCGCTTATAACCTAACAGAAAATGTAAATGTACCTGAAGGAAATACCGTGTATTACCTTACCTTAATTAATGATGTGTGTAAATTTGTCTTTTGCTATGGTTTTAGACAATACGACTTCTCCTGACTATCAATTTTGCGTCAAAACAAGCGCGATAATGAAATAGACGAAGTGCCATGGTATAGCACTTTATGACAAAGTTTTAACTGGAAAACTTGTTACCATCTGATGTACACCTGTATAGTCTATGTTTGTAAGCTCTGCCTAAAGAATCACTGGATTACACTGCACCCATGGGTGTGCCACCTAAAGTGCAGCCTATGTTTGTTAGCTCTACCTAAAGAATAACTGGGTTACACTGCACCCTTGGGTGTGCCACCTAAAGTGCAGCCTATGTTTGTTAGCTCTACCTAAAGAATAACTGAGTTACACTGCACCCATGGGTGTGCCACCTAAAGTGCAGCCTATCTTTGTTAGCTCTACCTAAAGAATCACTGGGTTACACTGCACCCATGGGTGTACCACCTAAAGTGCAGCCTATGTTTGTTAGCTCTACCTAAAAGAATCACTGGTTTACACTGCACCCATGGGTGTGCCACCTAAAGTGCAGCCTATGTTTGTTAGCTCTACCTAAAGAAGCACTGGGTTACACTGCACCCATGGGTATGCCACCTAAAGTGCAGCCTATGTTTGTTGGCTCTACCTAAAGAATCACTGGGTTACACTGCACCCATGGGTGTGCCACCTAAAGTGCAGCCTATGTTTGTTGGCTCTACCTAAAGAATCACTGGGTTACACTGCACCCATGGGTGTGCCACCTAAAGTGCAGCCTATGTTTGTTAGCTCTACCTAAAGAATCACTGGGTTACACTGCACCCACGGGTGTGCCACCTAAAGTGCAGCCTATGTTTGTTGGCTCTACCTAAAGAATCACTGGGTTACACTGCACCCTTGGGTGTGCCACCTAAAGTGCAGCCTATGTTTGATGGCTCTACCTAAAGAATCACTGGGTTACACTGCACCCATGGGTGTGCCACCTAAAGTGGAACCTATGTTTGTTACCTCTACTTAAAGAATCACTGGCTTACACTGTACTCACGGACGTTTGCCTCGCGCTCTCTTCAAAAACAAAAAAGCTATAGTCTGTTTGGCCAAAAATCAAGCTTTGTTTCCCCTAAAAATTGGACACCATATTACGGCCCAGAAAGACGTTAAAAGTTCCTCCATAATAGAAGAGTGTTTTGTTAGAGTTAATAAACGTTTGGCTTACATGAGTTTCAATATAAAGGTGCAAAAACTTATCAGCATAATTATAGCACACAAACATTGTCATCAAACTCCTGGCGTGTAGCCTGAATAAGCCAAGCAAATATGAATAAAGCATATAACGAGAAATATTCGTCAAATGGTCTCGTTAAGTAAATTATACTTCACTTTGCGACAGAAATTTATCGTTTGTATCCGTGTTACGCATCGAAAAAGCGAAGAGTCATCGCATGACATTAGGTAACAGAGGTAATACTCACGAGTGTCACGAATTCCAATTCCATGATTTTTCGCCGAGTAACAAATTAAAAACTTCAATTCTTACCTTACAGTGGTCGGTTCATTTACCTTACATTTGCCAACACTAATAAACATGAACAAAACGATGAAATCCGGCACTCTTCTTTCAGAAGTAGCAAGCCGCATGAAGCAAAATCCACCGATGTGCGCTGCATTCTCACTACAAATATAAACATTTGTCGTGAAGAAAATACGACGAGGAGGAAAAAATGCCAGATCTTCGCCTCGGCAATGTATTCCAGCTACCAAGCCGGCGTATCTCCAGAAGGTGGACTCGAAGTGCGACAAACCTTGTGATTGTTTTAGGAGCCCTTTGCGCGCAAACTAATTTATTCTGGCGCGAAATGAAGATTAAGAAAATGTATCTGAAATCTAATACACGACAAGAAAATTTTCGCACTTTCGAGGAGCGCGACATATTAAATGGGATTAAGTCGGATTAGCTGCCCGCGGAGAAAACATCCCTGCGTGGGATGGTACTTCCAGTAAAAAGCCTCTGTGTCCTCTCATGTCGACTTGCAATCAGGTGGCCTCGAGATTTTAAGGAATGGCCTCATTTTTGAGAGACAGGGATGAAGTTTCCACGTTAATACGAAGAGCCCCCCGAACACTGCACGCGATGTCCGTGGGAAATGGAGCTGAAAGACAAAATTGCAAAAATTCGCCGATACAATCGGCGCTGCAAAGCGATGCGTGAGCAATTTAGATGCTGCTGCCTTTTTTAATACGATCGTGCTTTGAGCTACTGTTATGAATGAACACGAACAAAGTAATAAACAGAGAAGTCAATTTTTGAAAAAAATTGTTTGAAAACCTAGCTGTTTTTACTTGAATGAAATTCGCACTACAACTCCAGTGTCATGTGTTCTACTCTCAACTAAACTTACTCACCAAAGCTACACATAAAGCTGTCTCGAATCTGAGCGCGTTTCCTAATATATTTACTTCAATTTAACATCAACTTGACTGAAAAGTTGATAAGACAATGCATAATTCCATTTCAATACATAACTTTCTCTAATACAAAAACACGCAAAATGTACCTTGAATCACGGGCTTAAATCGCTAAAAAACTTCGCTCACTCGGTTGTTCTTTGGAGCTCTCTGCCGAGAAGAAAACAATGATGAAGTCCTCCAAGGCAAATTTGTCGCTTGATTTCTTCGCTTTCCTTCAAAACGTCAATCAAGAATTTTTCAACTTCTACTTTTCTTTAATTTGTACATTTCGTCGGTACATTTTAAACTTCACAAGCGGAGTAGATTTGCCCAATTTGCCACAATTTTACCGCGCACGGCTTTTTGTTGACCTGCACCAATGGGCACATTGTAGATGGCTAACCAACCAATCAGCGCGCTCTTCTTTCATAATTTTAGTCATCGCTGTTTGACATTTGGTCAGTAGTTTACAATTTTCTGCGTTTATCCATCTGCACCTTTATTTTTATGGAAATTAGTCAATAAACAAGCTTTAAACCACACGCTGAGTTATTTAAAATTACATGCACATTCCCTGTGATGATGAATGAAATAATGAGACTTCCAGGAAAGGAAAATTATTTTAATATTTATTTGTTTACTAATTTATAATTATCATTTATGTTTTCACTAAGTGGATATTTTTCTTGCTCTTTCCTCTTTTTGAATTGCTATGTCCAATATTAAGGCACATTTCCTTTTTCTCTCTAAGATACGGTTTCACCGCTTGTGTTCGAGAATCAGTTGTTTAAGAACAAGATTAACAAAGAAACTATGGTTAGGATCACTGAGTAAAAGAGATTGAAAGGACATGATATTCCTTTTGTTGTTATAAATTTTTAATAAGATTCGTTTAGAGTGTTTTCAAAGCTATCCTTCAGATAGTATCCTTGTTTAAACTTGTAGTCCACTATCATTGAAATGAATTAAGCACAGCGAAGTAGCTTTCTAGACTTTTTAAACTCTTGGGAACTCTGTGACGGAAGCAGTGTTCCTGGGCCTTTGCAAGGCGCCATTTGATCGATCATTAACAAGGCTCAAGTCTTAAGGAGTGGCAGGGAGGTGTCAGTGGCATGTTACAGCACATATCTCTCTGGTCGAGTTTTTTTAACAATCGATGTGTGATAATGTTGCGTCTCCCGGCAAAAATAATCATGGGAGTACCGCGGGGCAGGGATCGCTGTTATTTTTAATTTGGCATTAAATGGC